CATTTCTAGCAGCAATGTATGAATGATCCAACATCCTCATCAATATTTGATGTCATTCTGATACATTGCAGTTTTACTTTGCATTTTGCTAATTGCTAATGATATTGAATATCATTTCATGTGCTTAGCTTCCCAAGTAGCTAGAATCATAGGCATGCGCTACCACCTCCAGCTAATAAAAAAAAATTTTTTTTTTTTTCGTAGAGATAGGTTCTTGTTAGGTTTCCCAGGTTGGTCTGGAACTCCTGGGTTCAAGGGCTTCTCTTGCCTCCACCTCTCAAAATGCTGGAATTATAGGCGTGAGGCACTGTGCTTGGCCAGTGGTGGTGTTTTACTTTTGGTGTTCATGTGTCTGTTGCTAATATATGAGATACAATTGGTGTAATTTTATCTTTTATGCTGTAACCTTGCTGAATTCACTTATAGAAGTTATCTTTCTTTTTTTCTTTTTCTTCCTTCTCTACTGTTGTTTCTCCTCTTCCTCCTCCTCCTCCTCCTCTTTCTGTAAATTTTCTGGGGTATTCTACACAATCATGTCGCCTGGAAATAGGAAGTTTTATTTCTTTCACTTTTTATTTCTGTGACCTTGTTTTTCTTTTGTGAACTTTGAACTGGCTTGAACATCCCGTTTTATACTAAGAGGATTATTATTAAGAACATTGAAAGTAGACAGACCATGTTCCGGTTGTTAGGAGAAAAACATTCAGTTTTACCATCAATGTTAGCTGTAGCCATTATGGAGATTCTCTCTACTGAGTTGTGAAATTTCCTCTCTATTCCTATTTTTATAAGAACAACTTTTTTTTAAAGAAAAGATATGGGGTGTTGCTATGCTGTCAGGATGGCCTCAAACTCCTGGGCACAAGTGATCCTCTCACCTCAGCCTCCCCAGTAGCTGCGACTATAGGAGCACCACACCAACCCAGCTAGAATGAATATTTTAAAATGCTTTAAAAATTTTTTTGCATCAGTTGATTTTCTTTTCTTCTTTAGCCTATACATTTTTTCTTTCTCAGCCTATAAATATAATGGATTATATTGATTGAATTTTGAATGTTGAATCAGTCTTGTATCCTTGGAATAGACCCCACTTGGTCATGGTGTGTAATTCTTTATACATATTGCTGAATTCTATTTTCTAATATTTTATTACAAATTTTGTATCTATATTTATTACAAATATTGGTATGTAGTTTTCTTTTCTGTGCTATTTTTGTCTGATTTGGTATCAGGGTTTTACTATCTTCATAAAATGAATTAAGAAATCATCTCTGTTCCTTTTCTTCTGGAAGAGATTGTGTAGAATTAATATTAATTCTTCTTTAAACATTTGACAGAATTGTCCGGTGAAACCATGTAGTCATGGCGATTTCTTTTTTTGGGAGTTTAGCATACAAATTCAATTTCCTTTATAGTTATAGGGCATGTAATTTACTTATTTCATATTGGGTAAGTTGTAGCAGTTTGTGTTTTTTGAGGAATTGGACCATTTCATCGAAGTTGTCAAATTCACGTCCATAGAATTGTTTGTGGGGTTCCCTTGCTATCTTTTTTTTGATGACTGCATGGTCTATAAGGGTATCTTCTGCTTCATTCTTAATATTGTCAGTTTGCTAGGAGTGTCAGACTCCCTGGTTTGTTCTTAATATGAGTATATTTTTAGTTACACAAGTTATATGTTGGTACATTTTTGTTAGAGAATTCTAACAATCCAGAGTATGAAATAAAAGGAGTAGAGTTCTCTTTCATTATCTTCAACATATGTTTCTCCCATTTTCCTTCTTAACTCAGAGGTAATAAAAGTAAAAAATTTGGGGTGTATCTTCTGGGACTGTGACTCCTACTCCTATGTCATATTTGGTCACCTGGTGGACATTTATTCCCGGACTTTTCAAGGATCTTTTTTTGTGCTATCTTTGTCTGATTTGGTATCAGGGTATTATTAGCTTCATAAAATGAATTGAGAAATCATCTCTCTGCCTTTTGTTCTGGAAGAGACTGTGTAGAATTAATGTTAATTCTTCTTTAAACTTTTGGTCATGGTGTGTAATTGGTTATGATGTGTAATTTCAATGATGAAATTGGTGGTGGAGGAAGTCAAAGAGGAAAGAGGAAAGCCAGAGGGGGAGGTCAGAGGGAGGAACAAGCAGTCATCTTTGTCTGCTACAAGAGGAGGCTCCTCTGATCTAGTGTTCTCACATGTTCCCCAGGCTAGGGCTTCAGGGGTAGATGTAGAATGGGCTCATTTGGTGTGGTACTAGATAAAGGAGTCCAGAAGCCTAGATTCTGGAAAATATCTGATCTTTGAGCAAATTCTGTTGTCTCTTCCTTCAAAATACATCCAGAGGATGGCCATTATGCATTATTTTCACAGCTAACATCCTGATCCAAACCAGTCTCAACTCTCTCCTGGATTACTGCAATAGGCCCACTGTTCTCTCTAATTCTGCCTTTGCCTTCTAAAAGTCTATTATCAACACAGCTACCAGATCGATCTTCTAAAATGTAATTTCTCATGCAAAACTCTCCAAGCTTCACATGTCACCGAATCTAAATCTAATCAGTTCTCTGAACCTAAGTACCTGTTTACAAGGCAATACAGCTAATGGGGGAACATCTTAGAGAATATCACAAGAATACAATTAACCATTTCCAAACTGTGGAAGATTCTAGAAGATAAATTGCTTAGTTTTTTTCGACAGTTAAATGCCATAAAAAGGAGAGAGAACTGTTGCAGACTAAGTGATACATCAACCAATCACAATGTGTGGACTTTGATATTCATCTCCATGATACAGTTATACAAAGATATTTTAGCATATTTGGAGGAAACTGATTATGGCTTGGTTATTAAATTATATAAAAGAATTATGGTTAAATTTGTTTGGTGAGATAATGATATTTCTCTTATGTTTTAAAAGTTCATATCTTTAGAGGTACATACTGCTGCATTCAAGGAGAAATGACCTAATATCCGGAATTTGCTTTAAAATACAGCCAAGTCCCCCACTCCTCCATATCAAACACCTAAATAAAAAGAAGAATGAACAAAAGACTAAAAGTAAGTGTATGGTAGATGGAACAAGAATGGCAGTATATTGATAACTCCTGAAACTACATTATGTGTACATGAAGCTGCATTCCTATTTTATAATTATTCTGAAAATTTCTACCACAAAAAAATTGCTCTTTGGTCCTTTTTATTTAGGGATTCTTTAAGAAACTGGGAGATTTAGTTTTTTGCAAGGCTACCTTTGCCCTATCTTTATTCTCCTTCTGCCTAGGAGTCTGCAGTGCCCTTTCAAATTTGGGCCCCCTTTGGTCCTCTGGGTATTTCTAATGCTTTTTTAATGCAGTGACTTCTGGAAGTCCCCCTCACACTTGTTAACTAATAGTCCCACTGGATGGGGACCACTGCCCCAAATGAGGTGTCTCTAATTTTAGATTGGAATCAGAAAGATCCAGATGGGTTGCCACTTATAACTGGTATACATTTCAGCCAATGAGCAGAGACGTGCAGGAAATAGTATGCAATTTTCTTACATAACTTCACTTAATTTATAATTTGCGCCTTGGTTCTGCTGATGTCCTGTTTGGATTTCCAACTCTCCCTATTCGGAAATCATACAAGGCTGAGGTTTTGAGGGTGGGCTGAGATCATACTCTCTGGTTATTGGAGCATACAGCTGAAGTTTAGATGCCCATCAGCTCAGTTGCCAGGACATCTTTAGGTGGTGTGGCCTCTATGCCTATGTGAGACAGGTCTTCATGATCCTGCTTGTACACATAATAGAGCCAGACCCTCTTGAAGTTTTTGCCACATATACCTCTCCAGACACATTTTAGAGGGCTCCTCTAAAATCCATGGTTTGAAGATCTCTCTCTGACCTAATCAGTACCTCTCAACACTGTGGTAGAATAAGAAGGGCAGGACTAATTTAAAAAATCCTGGCCAGGCGCGGTGGCTCAAGCCTGTAATCCCAGCACTTTGGGAGGCCGAGACGGGTGGATCACGAGGTCGAGAGATCGAGACCATCCTGGTCAACATGGTGAAACCCCGTCTTTACTAAAAATACAAAAAATTAGCTGGGCATGGTAGTGCGTGCCTGTAATCCCAGCTACTCGGGAGGCTGAGGCAGGAGAATTGCCTGAACCCAGGAGGCAGAGGTTGTGGTGAGCCGAGATCGCGCCATTGCACTCCAGCCTGGGTAACAAGAGCAAAACTCCGTCTCGGAAAAAAAAAAAAAAAAAAAAATCCTGCTTCTGTTTTTTTTTTTTTTTTCTGCTAACTTTCCCTTTTCCTATAGAGTTTGAGGTTTTAGAAATAAAAGTCAGGTGGAGTGTGGTGGCTCAGGCCTGTAATCCCAGCACTTTGGGAGGCTGAGGCAGGAGGATAGCTTGAGGCTAGGAGTTCAAGACCAACCTGGGCAACATATTGAGACCCTGTTTCTCAAAAAAAAAAAAAAAAAAAAAAATCAGCCAGGTGTGGTGGCTAATGCCTGTGGTCCCACCTACTTGGGAGGCTGAGGCATGAGGATCACTTGAGCCCAAGAGGTTGAGGATGAAGTAACCTATGATCGCACTACTGCACTCCAGCCTGGGCAACAGAGGGAGACCCTATCTCAAAAAGAAAAAAAGAAAAAAAAAGAAAAGAAAGACAAAGAAAAGTCAAGATTATTTCATGCTATTGCTGCTTTCAGCCCTGCCATACTGTCCTCTGAGCAATGAACACAAAGCCTGCTACCTGCTTGAGTCCAGAAGGGAAAGGGTGATAAAAAAGGAGAAAGGAAAAAAACTAAACAGAAACATGTTAACATCTCAAAATATTCTGCCACATTTGAAATACGGAGACTTGAATTCATTAGAGAACTTCTACTGGAAAAAAGGAATTGTTCTTGAAAACGAGGTCTCTGCAGTTGCGTAGACTGTGTTGGACGTAAGTCCATTGAACGCTGTGATGTCATCATTGAAGTCATAGAATCTGCTGAGGGCCTGGTGACCTTTGATCCTTAACAGTTCCGCTGTGTAGCGAGCACGAGGCAGTGCTGCTTGTTCACTAAGCGGTCTGAGTTCTTCAGCTGTTTAGGAGACAAAACCACTTTTATTCATACTGAATCTTTTAAATGAATATCCTGAGAGTCAAGAAAGTCCAATCTACAGGAAAAACGGGGAGCTGGACATTACGCATCTTCTAGTAACTCTTCTAGCTGATTCCATGAAACGGCGACAAAAGAGGAAACACTTGGAAAATGAAGAGTCCCACAAAACCTCTGAGAAGGGAGAAGGTACGTGCGGGGCAAACCGTCTGGGGCACACGCGTCATTGGCCAGCCTGAGCCGCCTTTAAGGAGTAGGCACTGAGGAGAATGTACCACCTATGCAGCAGGGAGGGGGAGACCTGGCTCGTGGCTGATGCCGGCACGTCCATCTTGAGGGTACCCGGCTGTGAGGTGGCACAGGAAGTCCAGCGGATGCCGCTTGCACACCAAAAGCCAGCTTTGCTGGTCTGAGAACTTCTGTACCTGGAACTACATCAGTCTCCAGGCAGGTGGGGCGGGGGTGGGGGACCCACTTACGAAGACCCAGATATGCAGCCTGAGTCCCGTCTTTCTCTCTCACTCTATTTGTTCTTTCCCTGGGGCGACTGAGTTGCGGGTGGAAAGGTTCTGGTAGAAATCTATGAGTTGCACTGCCCCTTTTAGCAGAAGTGAAAGAATAGCCCAATGAGTTAAAGGTTTTGTTGAAAAATATCTTGAGAAGTGAAACGCTTGTTAGAAAGTAGATTAAACACTTGTTTAGGGATGGCGTCATACTGAAACCATGGAGGTTTGATTCCTTCAGCAGGAAGAGTTAACCCATTAATCCTAGAGTTTGTGAATCTAGAGTGTGGGACTTCCCAGAGGAAATGAAGCACAGGGGAGGGGCCTTAGAGCACTTTCAGTTTACTTCCCAGGAGGCATCATAATGACATGTATTAAATGTAAACAAGCCCTTTCTTCTGAAAGGGAGGTGGTCACATGAAGGAGCAGGGCAGAAAGGAGCCTGCCCCAGATGGCCCTGTAGGCTTCTGCTGCAATTAGAGCTCAGCAGGCCCATGAGGCCCAAGGTCATAAGAACTGTAGGTTGAGCCCGGGGAATCGAGGCCCGGAGTGTAGGCCTCGAGAGGAGGGGGTTGGGACAGGAAGGGGAAGGCAATGGTTTTCCTCTCCTTCAGCTACCCTTACATTTCAGAATATATTTTCTCTCTCTCTCTCTCTCTCTCTGTGTGTGTGTGTGTGTATGTGTTTGTGTGTGTGTGTGTGTGTGTTGGGAGCAGAAGGACTGGGGATAATGGGAGTGCTGTGGTGGGTTCTGCAGGGTGAGCTTCCTGTCACCATGCCTGGGCCTGGGCAGCACTCAATACACATAACAGTGTATACTGAATTTTTGTTCAGGGTATTCCAGGAGACAGTCACTCAATATACCCATATATACTCTGATACAGGAAAAAAGTCACATACCTCCACACACAGTGCATATAGTTATATATACACTGTTCCTCTATTACATATTCACACAACGCATGTGTGTGACAGTCCTTTCTTCCTACAGAGATTTCATGTGTGGTGTGGTGTGTGTGTGTGTGTGTGTGTGTGTCTCCTCAATTCTCACATAAAAACAGCTACCTTTAACTATCTCTAAATATCTGTTTAAGAGCTCCACACATCATATATGCCATATCTGGAATATACTGTATAGCAGTGCTAGCCTGCTTTGCCACAGACCACAACAAAGCAAAGATTCACCACCATCCCCTTATTAGGGTTGCCAGATGAAATACGGGATGTCCAGTTAAACTTGAATTTCAGATAAACCACCAATGATTTTTTAGTATGAGTGTGTCCCAAATATGGTACAGAATATACTGACACTAGAAATAATGATGACAAATATTGCAGGGATATACACTGAAAAATTATTTGTAATTTATCCAAAATTCAAATTTAACTTGGCATCAGCTATTTTTGCTAAATCTGGGGACCCTTATATATTCATAAGGAGCTGACCTGTTATATACTTACAAATTTCTGCTTAGTGTCTGTCTTCCCTGTCTAAAATGGAAGGTCCTCTTAGAAGAAGGACTGTTTTGCTAAGTATTCCTAGAGTCTAGAAGAGTGGACTGGTGTCTCATACATGGTAGCTGTTCATCAAATATTGCCAAATGAATGAATTAATATACATTATAAATATAAGCCACATCATGTAATCAGGAAATGTTACATATTGCATAATTCTAGGGTTGTAAACACAAACTATGCACACAAACTCCATAGACAAAGACACATTTCTACAGTATACCCACACGAACCTACACATATCAAAGGCTATCTGATATGCATCACTCTTACACTTTAGATGTATTCATAGTTACCACACAGGCCTACATTCCTAACAATACATTATCAAAATACCTGTTGATGGTAATTAAATACTAGAATATCTACCAGAAGCCAGTTTCATAAACCATGTGTGTTCACCACACCTGACATATGTCAGCCACTCAGTAAATATTTGTTGGATGGATAAATGATGCACAAATATTCGTCATCCACCATATCTCTGTGTACTTCATACCTTTTTCAGGAATGTCAAAGTCTGAAAAGGATGTCCTGCAGTCTGGATCCAGTGGAGTGGCCAAAGGCTGGAGCCAAGGGGTAGGAGAAGTCTCCTCTACCTCCGAATACTTCTCCTGCATTTCTTCTTCATGCAACCTCATCTATGGTGGTAAGGGTGCAGGGTTCCTTGGGCATGAGGCTCCTTGGCTGCGGGGTTCATTGGGCATGAAAATCTTTGAGTGTGGTGCTCCTTGGGACTGGGGCTCTTTGGGTACAGGGCTCTTTGGGCATGAAATTATTTGGTTGCAGTGCTGCTTGGGTGTAAGATTCTTTAGGAGCGGGGCTCCGTGTGTTTGGGGCTCCTTAGTTGTGAGACTCTTTGAGTGTGGGGCTCCTTGGATGTGAGACTCTTGGTGTGGGGTTCCTTGAGCATGGGACTCTGGATATAGGGTGCTATGGGTGTGTGACTCTTTGGGTTCTGGGCTCATTGGGTGCAGGCTCCTTAGGCATGGGACTTTTTGGGTGCAGGGTTCTTTGGGTAGAAAGCAGGAGGCTCATAGATCCAAGCATGAGGCTGAGAAGAAACTCAGGGCAGTTAGACGTGATCAGAGCTCTGCAGAGCTCTGCAGAAGTGTCTGGGCAAGATGACACAGCTGTTAGAAAAGCATAGATATGAACTCAGTGTAGGAGAGCATGAGCCCTGGTGTGCAGTCAGGCAGTCAGGGAGCAGTGGCCAGAAAAGTCTGTGCTTGGAGTTTAGGGCCATAGGACCAGATTAAGTAAGTACCTTCAGCAAAACTATCTGGGTTCTGCCTTTGCCTTCCAGAGAAGAGAGTTCCTCAGCGCAGGCCTCCAGCATTGCAGTGGGACTCTCTAGCCCACACACCTCACACATACAGCCACACTCTCCACAGGTACACTCTCTGCACACACACAACCCAAATGCATGACCTACAGTGCCATTCTCCCATACCACCTCCCACCTTTCACAAATAACACATCAATGATGGCACCAACTCACATCGTCATAGCACACACATGCTGCCAACATTCCACATAGGCTGCAGTCCTTACCACCATACTCCACACCCCTGGATACAGACACCCCATCAACATCCCTACACACAAATGACACTAGAATCACTGCCCCACAATATGAATGACAAATACCAAGCTCACCACACAGCTGCATCACACTGTAGTCCCTCTCTCCTACACCACACATATTCAACTTACATTCCCCTAGCTTCTGGCACACCCCATGCACCTGCTCATGTTTCTAATTTCCTTTTCTAGGAATCCAGAGAATACATCAAGACGGCCTCCAGCCTCAATCACCCGTAGCCCAAGTTCAGGAACGAAGAGAGACTTCTCCCTGCTCACAACATGTCTTTTTGTTGCCCCATTCGTCCTATAAGACCTGTGTGTCCTCTCTGTGTGTAAACAAAGAGGAAAGGGGCATGAAAATATACTATATGCAGGTACAAGTGAAAAATGGTGTAGCTGTCTCCTGGGAGACAGAGGAAACTTCAGAGTCCTTAGAAAAGCAGCCAAGGATGGAAGAAATGACTCTTCCTGAGGTTGTGCGGGTAGGTACTCCGCCCTCGGATGTATCCACCAGAAACCTCCTTTCTGACAGTGAGCCCAGTGGGGAGGAGAAAGAGCATGAGGAGAGGAAAGAGTCAGACAGCCTGCCAGCCTCACCAGCTGTTGAGGAGAGACCCAGGGCCAAGACACCTGACTGGCTGGTGACCATGGAGAACGGCTTCAGGTGCATGGCCTGCTGCCGGGTGTTCGCCACCATGGAAGCCCTCCAGGAGCATGTGCAGTATGGGATCAGGGAGGGCTTTAGCTGCCACGTCTTTCATCTCACCATGGCTCAGCTGACAGGCAACATGGAATCAGAGAGCGCCCAAGAGGAGGAGGAGGAAGAGGATGACCATAAGGAGGAGGAGGAGGAGGAAGAGAAGCCAGAAGAAAAGAAGGAGGAGGAGCAGCCCTCAGGGGAAGACCGTGGCCTGAGGAGATCCTGGAGCCAATGTCCAGGCTGGGTGTTTCATTCTCCAAAGGACATTCCAAAGGACAGGAAGTGAGCAAGAGCTGGGTTGGGCTGGGTCCGCTGAGGGAGCAGCGGCTTCCCTGAGCCAGTATTCTCTCCCCAGTTCAGGCTTAGGTCTCCATAAGGGAGATTTGGGGGCTTTACTGGCTCAAGGAACAATGGAGAGGGGCATAACTGGGCTCCTGTTTCTTGCCTAGGCAACTACTAAAGTCTTGATTGTAAGTCAGGATTTGTCTTGAGCTTTCCAGCCCCTGCAGGAAGTTCTGAGAATTTCAAATATCGCATTAACTAAGAAGTGTCTTTCTTTGGTTTGATTTTCACACAGCAGCTGAGACTTATGGGTCAGAAGACACTGGAAGATGGTGTGGCCTTCTCTAGCAAGAGGTAAGGCCTGAGACTTGCAGTGTTCTGAGGCGGTGTTGTGAGGCCCAGAGGAATTCAAGGGAAGGAGCCGCAGGGATGCACGGGGTTGCCTGGTGGCTCTGCAGCTGCATCAACTTGCGGTGTACTTAGTGCTTCTGGAGGAATTGTCCTCCATTTGCTTAGATGATGAGGTGAAAGCATTGACGGAGAACTTTCTCAATGTCTCCATGATTGTCCTCAATTCTAAGGAAATCCTGGAGCTCTTCTAGGCAAATAAAGCTCAGTGTAACCTCAAGGGCCAGGATTGGCCTGAAAGGACAGGGTGCCAGCAAGATCAGAGGCATGGAGAATGAGCGCCTTTGGCCTGAGCTGGGAACTCAGCTCAGCCCATGGATATAGCCCTTGGGAAAAAAGGGAATTTGGATAGGTAACAATGTGATCCTGATGCAATCCCAAGAGACCTGGAAATGTTTCAGACCCTTCATTTTGCTGCAGTTGATCTGGAAATGAACTCACTGTGGTATGCATGGCTCCGAGCTTTAAAACAAAGGTGAAGAGTAACTGACTAGCAATGCTCATATTGTTTCTTGCCTCTTCCTGTTCTGCCTCAATTGTTTTCTTCACCTCCAGGGAGAAGAAAGACCCATGGAGATAGTAGCAGACAGACTGCCCAAGGTATGAAGGAGATGAAGGGTCAGCACTCAGTCTAACATGTAAACATCATATGTAATAAAGGGTGTGTTTCAAACCTTCCCTGGATATATTATTTAATTAACAAATTAATCTACCTATCCATCATTTTCTTTTTTTTTCTCTTTTTTTCTAGATGGAGTTTTGCTTTTGTTTCCCAGGTTGGAGTGCAATGGCGTGATCTTGGCTCACTGCAACCTCTGCCTCCTGAGTTCAAGTGATTCTCCTGCCTCAGCCTCCTAAGTACCTGGGATTACAGGCATGCACCACCACACCCAGCTAATTTTGTATTTTTTTAGTAGAGATGAGTTTTCACCATGTTGGTTAGGCTGGTCTTGAACTCCTGAGTTCAAGGGATCCATCCGCCTCGGCCTCCCAAAGTGGTGGGATTACAGGCATAAGCCACCGCACCCAGCCCTATTCATTATTTTCATCTGTCTCTCTAGTGGTTTGTGAATGAAGTTTTATACGAGCACTGAAGATATCTACCAGCCTTTTCCAGAGGCAGCAATACCTAAGCTCCTGGGATTGATTAGGCTTCTGTGTCACAATTTTTCCAAGGCTAGATACCACATTTCACATGGGACCATGACAAACTCTGCTCCATACCTATGTTTTCATCATCCAGCTTTGTTAAGCTTCGCAGTTTTCTATGTTTGCTTCAGTTGGCTTCAAAGTAAAAATGATTACAAATACAGTCATAGTCCCCTGTTCCATTGCCTTACATATGAATTTTGAGTATTTTTTTAGTACTTCTATGTGTGTCTTATACTATTACTTAAATATATAAAATGTTTTGAATATCTTAAAAGTTTCACATAGCACTGTACTTCATTATTCCTTTGCAACTTGTCTTTAGTAAAAAACAGGTTTTTAAGATTATCCATTGTCATAAACATATCTGTAGTTAATTAATTTTTACTATTGTATTATAGTTCATTCTGTCAATATGCTGGGCATGGTGGCTCATGTCTGTAATCCTAGCACTTTGGGTGGCTGAGGCGGGTGGATCCCCTGAGGTCAGGAGTTTGAGACATCGCCAACATGGTGAAAACCTGTCTCTACTAAAATTATAAAAATTAGCCGGGCATGATGGTGCATGCCTGTAATCCCAGCTACTAGTGGGGCTGAAGCAGGAGGATCGCTTGAACCCGGGAGGCAGAGATTGCACTGAGCCGCACTGAGCTGAGATTGTGCCACTGCATTCCAGCCTGGGCAAGAGAGCAAGACACTGTCTAAAAAAAATCGCCAATTATTTATTTATTCTTTTTTTGATGAAATTTTAGTTGCATCCAAATTTTCTCTATTACCATACAGTGTGAGTCTCTCTTGAGGGTGTATACACCCAAACATTCTTGCTATGCTAAAGCATATAGATATTTCAGTTTAGTAGTTATTGTCATGGTATATTTCTTCCTTTATTCAAGCATTTTTTTCCTATTTTTGTTCTTCAGTAATGATTAGTGATTAATGCTTTTCTCCACAAATGTTATATACAATTTTTATTCAGTGTAGTCCAAGATTTCTTTTCTTTTCATTCTCCTCATGAATGGTATTTTTTTCTATTATATTTTAGAATTGGTTATTATTGATGCATATTTTAAATTTTCATTTCACATGTAGCAACCTTTTTGAAATTTTTCAGATGTAAGTATTTCTATGTAATATTCTTCTACATTCAATCATAATAAATACAACTAAAAAGAATTAGTTTTTTTCCTATTTCTAGACAGCACTTGCATTTTTCTTCTGTTAACTGAACAGGCTAGGACCTCTGGTACAATATAAAATAATAGTGATCATACAAATAAATTTTTAAAAAATGGTAAGAATGAGTATTGAATTTTATGTGGGTTTGATGCATCTATTCAGATGATTTCATTCCTTTAGATGTTAATTTTGTGTAATGCATCATATGTTTTTGGATGATGAACCATCCTGACCTCCCTGAAATAAACCTCATTTTACCATTACTTTCTTTCACTAAATTGTTGAATTCACTTTGCTGTTAAGAAATTTAGGATTTCTATGACTATTCACAAATAAAATCAGGGCATAATTTTTTTCTTACATTATTGTTGTCCATTTTTTCTTTATTTTTTTTTTAAAAAAAAAACAAAATTAGCTGTCTCCTATGCCATGATTTTTTTTTTCTCTCTCTCATCCCTAAAAGAGCTTCTATGGAATGGGGATTCATTTAACCCTTCTTTTTTAAAATTTTAATTTAATTAAAATTCCAGGATACATGTGTAGGATGTGCAGGTTTGTTACATAGGTAAACATGCGCTATGGTGGTTTGCTGCACCTATCAACCCGTCACCTAGGTGTTAAGCCCCGCATGCATTAGATGCTCTCCCTCCCTCCACCCCACTGACAGGCCCCAGTGTGTGTTGTTCCCCTCCCTGTGTTCCTGTGTTCTCATTGCTCAGCTCCCACTTATAATTAAGAACATGCAGTGTTGGGTTTTCTGTTTCTGTGTAAGTTTGCTGAGGATGGCTTCCAGCTCCATCCATGTCCCTGCAAAGGACATGGTCTTGTTCCTTTTTATGGCTGCATAATATTCTATGGTATGTACATGTACTACATTTTATTTACCCAGTCAGTGCAGAATTCACATGCTGTTTTGATTCTTCTTGATGGGAGCCACACACTGGAGCTGTTTGTAGTTGACCATCTCAGTCCCTCTCCTCCCATTTAATCCTTGAAGTTTTGGTAAAGTTTTCTTTAAAAGCCTTATGAACTAGGATTTTTCTTTTTTTCGGTAAAGGGGTGAGAATAATTTTGCTTATTGTTTAATTTATTATTTAAAGTTTTCAGTTTTTCTTGAAACAAATTTATATTTTTACAAATTACATTTAATAATACAAAGTAGTCCATAGTTTTGTCATGGTAGTCTGTGATTTAAAAATCCTCTATTTTAATTATGTTTGCATTTGTTTTCTAATTTGTTCATTTGTGCATTTACTCCTCTAGTTCACCGGATTGGTGTTGCCAGAGATTTGCTAATTTAATAATTGAAAATAAAATCTTTTAGTAGTATTGGTATTTTGTATTATTTCCTTTTTTAGATTTCCTAAACATACCTTTGTTAATTCTTTCCTTTTTTATAGGTTTACTCAATTTTTTCTTTTTCTAGCATCTATTGAACACTTTATTGATTTTTAATCATTTATATTTTTAACTAACTGCATGTGAAGCTATGCAAATTTTCTGAAATGCCATTTTATTAGTATCCCACAAGTTTGCTGTGTTGTACTTTCATTGTTGTTTACTTTTAATGTTGTATAATTTCTATTCTGATATTCTTTTTAGTCTGTGAATCACATAGGAATACATTTTAAAGTTGCTAAAATTTTATTGTAACCTGGTATATAGTCAGTTTAAAAAGTGTTTCATATGTACTTGAAAATAATGTGTATTCTCTGTTGGATTCAAGTTCATGTGCATATCTGTTAATCAAGTTTCTTTATTCAAGTGTTTTTTGTCCTTACTATTTTTAAGTCTGATCTTCCAGTTTCTGGTATAGACTGAAATATTTTACAGTGATTGTGAACTTGTCCATTTCTCTTTATATTTGTACAGAGTTGGCAGATCTATTTTGAAACTATATTACAAGTCATGTGAAAATTAATGTTTTGTACATTTTTTGGTGGATTTTCTTATTGTCAAATATTTTCTCCCACTTTTTCTCTATTAATTACTTTCTTGCTTTAAATGCCATTTAGTCTGATTTAATAAGCTTTTTGTCTAAACTGTTTTGCTGTACTTACAATATTGAATCTGCTTTTTAGTAAGTGAGTTTAGCTCATTACACTTGTTTAGAAGACTGAGAGGTCTGGAAGGATTTCTACCTCTTCATCTGTGTTTTCACTTATTGTGTTTTTTCCCATGAGTTCTCTCCCTAAAATCACTCTCTGCTTCCTGCTAGCTGAATTCTGATTTTGTTCAGGTTTTGAGCTTTATTGGGCACAGCCTCAGGATATGAATCTTGATATATTGAAGCTCGTTATATTGCTCCATTCCACTTTTCTAGTGATTGATTATTACCAAATAAGTAGTAAGGGAAAGTTTGCTGGGAGACTTCTGGCAAATATTTTCCTCTTTGATAAAAAGGGAGTGGCTCATGGTAAAAAACCCTGACCCCTTCCTTCTTGTCTTTGAAGGTAGATGGTAAAAGGCATAATACCTACAGCTATGACAACTGTCTTTCAAACACGAGGGGATAGCCATAAAAATACAGAAAATCCCACTCAGGGACCTATTGTCACTGAGTCACCTACCTCTCAAATATGAACTTTATGAAACAGTAATGTCATTATTGTTGAAGCTGCTTTTAATTGGGCACACTATACTGGTATGGCATCTGCGATATGTCACACTGCTATATGCTCATAAAATCTGTATTTCTTGTCCTCCTGAGCATTTACGTAAACTGTATTTCCTATCCTTTTTTACAGTTAGGTGGGGCCATGTGGCAGAGTTCTCTGATAGAATATGGTAGAAGAGATAAATGGGAGTGTGGATAAATGGGGTGGCCCAGGCATGGCCCACCAAATCTTCCACATGATCTTCTAAGTCTCCTCTTTTCTCCTTTTTGCTGGAATACATGGAGGATTTGGGTTCCTGAAAGATGGAGAGTTCAACAGAGAGGATCTAATATACTTCCTGCTTGTTCTGCAGGCATAAAATGCTTAATGGAATGGGTTCCAAATGAGCTTCAGGAAGAGTTCGCTAAGTTTCTCCAAGTGTCTGAGATTGGGAGTGGTGGCTGGAGTGCAGGTCAAGTACAGGCTGGCTAGTCGGTAGATACTGATTTTCTTCCTGGATACATAGTCTTTAAAGTAGTTTTCCTTGTCCCTGGCCGTACAGGGAAATCTTTCTACTGTTGAGGTGAGATGTTTGTTTGTTCACAGAAATCTTTCCTGTTCTCCTGTGGTTTCTGCTTTTGACATTCCATAGTTAACAATTTTCTTTTTTTTTCTCCTTTGTTTCTGCTGGGTATTTATCATCCCTTTTTTTTATTTTTTATTTTTTATTGGATTTTAGGTTTTGGGGTACATGAGCAGAGCATGCAAGACAGTTGCGTAGGTACACACATGGCAGTGTGCTTTGCTTTCCTTCTCCCCTTCACCCACATTTGGCATTTCTCCCAGGCTATCCCTCCCCACCGCCCCCTCCCACGGGCCCTCCCCTTTTCCCCCCAATAGACCCCAGTGTTTAGTACTCCCCTTTCTGTGTCCATGTGTTCTCATTTTTCATCACCCGCCTATGAGTGAGAATATGCGGTGTTTCATTTTCTGTTCTTGTGTCAGTTTGCTGAGGATGATGTTCTCCAGATTCATCCATGTCCCTACAAACGACACAAACTCATCATTTCTGATTGCTGCATAATATTCCATGGTGTATATGTGCCACATTTTTCCAATCCAGTCTATTATCAATGGGCATTTGGGTTGATTCCAGGTCTTTGCTATTGTAAACAGTGCTGCAGTGAACATTCGTGTACATGTGTCCTTATAGTAGAACGATTTATAGTCTTTTGGATATATACCCAGTAATGGGATTGCTGGGTCAAATGGAATTTCTATTTCTAAGGCCTTGAGGAATTGCCACACCGTCTTCCACAATGGTTGAACTAATTTACACTCCCACCAACAGTGTAAAAGTGTTCCTTTTTCTCCACATCCTCTCCAGCATCTGTTGTCTCCAGATTTTTTAATGATCGCCATTCTAACTGGAGTGAGAT